ACATTTTGGACTGAATTTTAAAAAACTTCCTGTATTTAATGATTTTGACATGTTTCCTGTTGACACAAAGAGTCAAATATGAGTCATTTTCCTTCATTTACACAGAAAATAAGCTGCATTTTATATCATATATTTGACATTTAATATAATTCATCACCCAAACATACATTTCATTTGTCTTTCAATGTGCCTAAAAATGATTTATTGATTAAATTTTATCATTTAGTTTCGTTTTGAGGTTCAGATTTCATTCATTCGCTTTCAGGCGCTGATGCTAAACCACAGCTGTTAATGTTAGCTTGTTATTAGCTCAGTTTGCTAATCTACAAAGTGTTTTATATAACTCGAAGACGTACATTAAGATAAATACGTATAAAGTGATGTTAAATCACAGATATGCAGAATCAAACACCAGTAAAACTAGCAGCTAAACATCCCTGCAGCTGATGAAACACGCGCATGCTAAAAAGCTAGCTGCCGGCTAGCTAAAGGCTAACGGCTAATTTCTCTCTCTTACCCACTGAGACCTGCTGCACACCTTTCGTTATCTCCGTCGCCATGTTGGCCCACGTAAAACAACCGTCTGCTGGAGAAAATCTGACCGTAAAGTTTTATTTAAAATAATAAACAGACTCAGAACAGCAGCGATCACAGGCAGGCGTCAACTGCTGTGTCTGACACGCAACTTTGCGTCAGCCTGCAGCAGACTGAGGAGGCGGAGACTCCCGTTTTATTTGGAGACAGCTGATTGGTCGAAAAGCAAACGTCTTCTGTAAAACGGCAGATCTGATTGGTTAGGTCGCAACTCAGCGAGTGTTGCGTTCAAGACAAGAGAAGTGTGATTTATCCAAAATATTACAACAAAACTGATATTTAGTTTTTATCCTGTGGTAAGTTAATTTAAAATAAAGTGTAAAATTTAAGGTAGAAATACTTAAAAAGAGGAAATAATGCTTAAAACTGATGCTTGCTTTGATGTTTTACAGTAGCTGAAGGAAATGACTGAGTTTTCAGATGTCAGTGAATGCAGCATGAAGAAAGAACGGACTTTCCGTTTGTCTTCCAGGAAGAACGAAGAACAGCTGCGACCTGCGCACCGCAGCGCAGCGGAGTCCGGTGTGAGATGTTCACATAAAAAACAGCAATTTATGATTTACAACAGGAATACTTCCTGACAACATGAAAAGCTAAAATAATCCCACTCTATAAGAATGTGAGAAATGTGTGTTCAGCAATTAGACTAATATCCCAAACACAGTTTTCAAAACTTTTAGAGAAATTATTTGTGACTAGACTAGATCAATTAAACATGAACATCTCCCACATTTGGAAGATTTAATTTCATTACTTTATTTGAAATATCGAAGGCTCAGTTCTGATTAATAAATATATGAATGAATATCCAGCTGCTCAGAACTCATTGACTTGTATGAACAAAGCATACATGAAAGGCAAAATGCTTATTTTAAGCCACTGTTAGTCATTTAATTATTTATCTTTAATTTTCATAATTATAAAATTCAGAATTTCCTCAGCTTTAATTTGAAGTTTGTAAAAATGGAGGAAGAAATAATCAGTTTATGTGAGTTTTTCTCACAGTCCATTGACTTCCATTCATTCTGTCGAGGCTCCTCACTGCAGAACATTAGCATGTAGCTGTTAGCAACAGGCTAGCCCCGCCCACTCCAGTAACACAGATCAGTGACACACGTGCCTTTGAAAAAGGATTGGATTTTATTTACAGTGATTTCAACAGAATTACAACAGAAAGAGTTTAACGGAGGATTGATGACGAGCGGGAGGAAGACGGCGTTGGCAGATCTTCGGCCTCCTCTTCCTCAGTGGCTCTCACCTTTCTTCCCGACGACCTGCAGGAGGAGGAAACGAAGGCGTCAGACGAGGAACTGGGCTGAACGTGAAATGACTGAATGAAAGCGGTTCTTCACCCGTTTGAAGTCGTTCATGTTGGTGGCCTGAACCGGAGTGCCGATGAAGGTCAGGTAGTTGATCTTTGTGGTCTCCTCGTCTCCCAGGCTGGACTTCACAAACAGCTGGATGACAAAGCAGAGAAGTGACGACCAGCTGCTGAACCGGACGCAAACCTTAAAGCCAGCTGGAGGTTAGCCTCTCACCGTGACGCTCTGGACGTTCTGGAACTTGACGTAGCGCAGAGGAATCAGACCGTCGTCTTTGTAGTCCTCCTCCGACAGCTCCAGGGTCTGCGTGGCTTCGCTCCGCTCGGCGTCGTCGAAACCCATCGACCGAGGAAGGTTGATGAAGATCTTCATCACCTTCGGTGCCTGGGCTGAGGAGCAAGCACACGTGGTAGAGGAAAATTTTTAGGCTTTAGACACATCTTGTTAGCCTTCTGCTAATTCCAGCTTCTAGCTAACATTTTAATATTTATTAGTTTGCTACTTTCAACTAGCTTTCTGCTACTTTTAGCTAGTTCTCATTGCTTTAAACTTTAAACTATTTGAATATTTTAGCTAGCATGTTGCTGCTTTTAGGTTTTAGCTACCTTTAGCTGTCACGTTGCTTCTTTAGCTAATATTAGCTATCAGCTAGCCTTTCATTACTTTGAGTTTCTTGCTAACAATTTGAAACTTTTCATTTTAGCTATCATTTTACTGAATTTAGTGCTTTGCTAGCCTTTCTAAGCTATAAACTTGTAGCTAACAATTGGAAGATTTTAGCTAGCATTTTGCTAATTTTAACTTTAGTTAGCCTATCGTTAGTTTAAGCTTTGTAATAAAGGCTTTGCTTATTTTAGCTAGTGTTAGTTAGTCTTTATTGATGCTAAGTTTTTCCTGTATTTCCTTGTTTTTCAGAATAAAACTCACCTAAATCTGAGCACTGAAGCTTCATGGAGAAAAGTTTCACTGGTTGATTGAAAGCGATGGTTATCAGCAGCTGAAAAACAAACAAACAGGTGAACCTTTAGCTACACCCAGAGAAGACAACAGCCTCAGACTCAGGCTCCTCCTTCATGTGGGTCAGGTGTGGCTCGGTGGTACCTGGTCGTCGCAGTCGGACTCCAGGTAGGAGGAGTCTTTGACCAAACAGTTGTCGAAGCCGCAGTCGTCGCTCTCGTTCAGACACTCGCAGCCGGCTTTGTTGACGAACGGCATGAGGTCCATCTGAGACACAGAGACAGACAGCATCAACGTGTTTGTTCAGACAGAAACACAGATTATTTATAGTTACAGAAATGAAAAAAACATTTAGTCTTTCAGCCTTTATAACTCCTACTGGGCTTTTCTCCAGAGTCAGTCTTATTATAACCTCTGCCTTTAAAGTAGGGTTGGGCAATATTGGAAAAAAAATAAATCACGATTAATTGTGGTATTTAGCCGATAACGATTAATTTACGATTAATACCCTGGAGTCCCTGGAAACCCTTATTTCATAGTCGCATAATCAATTTAGTGGGAAAGATTGCTCTTCATAAAAATCTGTTCCAAATTGTGTCAAAATTACAGACTTCAGGCTATACATCAAATTTTAAATTGTGTTGATGGATAAATAAGTTACAGAACTTTTTTTAATGTTCGTCATATTTGAAGCTGAGAGGAGCAGCGAGCGGATTCTACCTGTTGGCATTAATCGTATTAATTGTAAAGTGCCAAAAATTAATCGATTAGTGTTTTTCTGACGATTAATCACAAACGATACGATTATGCCCAACCCTACTTTAAAGACAAGTCAAACTAGTTCTAACTGTCTTTCCATGTAATTAAATATATTAAAAACATTAAAATGACAAATATAAACTACATAAAAACAGTTTAAAATCAAACTCTTCCTTACAAATCCCTTTGGTTTAAATAGTTCAGGTTAAAGTGTTTGTATAAAGCTTCATTAGAGAATACTAAACTGTGTACTTTAACTGAGAACATGGACCCAGTGTGTAGCCAACTCTCCTGACCTGAACCTCACAGACAGTCTGTGGGATATTGTGAAGAGGAAGTTGAGAGACACAAGACCCAACACTCTGGATGAGCTTAAAGTGTAACTTACCCCCCCTGTGAAAAGATAACTCCGCCC